TCCTGACAACACTATAGATACCTCCACTCTCACACAGGACCACACCCTCACTGCTCCTTTCACCCCAACAGAAGTCGCACAAGCACTGGACAAAACCAAAAAGAAAACTCCAGGTGACAGCAATATTGGTCAAGCAATCCTGAAGCACCTGCCCCGAGAAACAATCACAGCCATTACATACCCCTACAACACCCAACTGGCTACAGGATACTTCCCAAAGCTCTTTAAGACAGCCACAGCCGTCATGATACCTAAACCAAACAAAAACCCAACAGATCCTCAAAACTACAGACCGATCAGCATACTAGAAGTCTTAGGCAAAACTTTTGAAAGACTATACAACACCCGCCTCAGATACCACCTTGAAGATGAACAACTACTGTCCTACAAGCAGTTCGGCTTCAGAGCACACCACTCAACTCAAGACGCACTCAATATAATCACAAACTACCTCCACATGAACAAAGATGCATACAAGATAGCACTAATTACAAAAGACGTACAAAAAGCCTTCGACACAGTTTGGCACGATGGATTAAAGTACAAGATATGCACCAATTTTAACCTCCCTCAAAAATCACAACAATTACTATGTAACTTCCTAACAGACAGAAAAATGAGGATAAAAGTCACACCTGCCTACTCTGACCACTTCACACTGCATGCAGGAGTCCCACAAGGATCAGTCCTGTCCCCAACACTATACATTCTTTACACAAACGACTTACCCGACCCCCTACACATCGACTCTCTGACAATACAGTACGCCGACGATGTAACCCAACTAGTCAGACACAGAACTCTTGATCACCTAACAGACAAAGCTAACAGGGAACTCGAACAAGTTACACAATGGGAACTCCGATGGCGAATACAAACCAACCCGAACAAAGCACAAATCACCTACTTCGGCACCAAAAGACGACAACCACGTCACATTTACCTAAACCCCTACATCGCCTACCCTTCACATATAACTATCAAACGAACAAACATAATCCTAGGAGTCACATTCAACGACACCCTCACCATGACACTACACACCAATATGAAGGCTTTGATCGCAAAGAAAACACTCGGGAATATATACAGATTCAGAACCGCATCAATCAAAACCAAAACACACCTATTCAAAGCCCTCATACGCCCACTATTGACTTATGCACCTAACACACTCCAGCTAGCACCACCATCAAGCGCCAAGAAACTTCAAGTCATTCAAAACAAAGCACTAATATTCATCCATAACACACACTGGTCATCCTTCACCCGAAATAGTCATTTACATGAACTCAGCTCCGTCCCCCCACTTAACATCTACTGGAGACAACTAGGTGACAAACAAATAGAATCACTCCTCACTAATTACCCTCAATGGGAGGATTATTTCGACAACATCATACTCCCACGCAGATTCAGAGACAGAAATCCCTCCATACTAAACAGACCAAACACTCCCCTCCCACCTCCCTTGTATTAATAACTTCCCTATAACCACACCCAACAATTTCCCCCCAAATTAAACCTAACCTCTCCTTAACCCACACCCAACGATTCCTCCTCCCCTCACTCCAAACCCCACGCCACCAACTCAAACTCAAGACCACGCCAACAAAAAAAAAAAAAAACTAACCCACCTAATCTGCACCCAACACCCCCAAAAAAACCTAACAATCCCCAAATAAAAATCCTAACATACCCAGCCATACTAGCAATCCCACACAAAAAATAAAAAATACAACCATTCTACCACTAACCAACCACACCCTATCACCTCCCAAAATAAAAACCCAACATACCCAGCCGTTACTAGCAATCCCACACAAAATAAAAAATAAATCCATTCCTACCACTAACTAACCACACACCCTATCACTCCTCCCAAAATAAAAACCCAACATACCCAGCCATTACTAGCAATCCCACACAAAATAATAAATAACCATTCTACCATTAATCCAAATCCACACCCTATCACTCCTCCCAAAACAAATAATCAACTTACCCATCCCATACTAACCTCGGATGACATGTTTCTTTAGCCAATAAGGTCGGGGAGAGGTGCACAGTACCTGTACAAGCCCTCTCCCTCAAGGAAGTTACCAACACTGTTGACATGGGCACCTCCCTTAGCCAATAAGGTCGGAGAGGTGTACCTAACAAAGAATGGTACCAACATACAGATGACATGAACGCCTCCCTTAGCCAATAAGGTCGGGGAGGGGTGCATTGTACCTATACACAAACCCTCTCCCTCAAAAATGGGACCAGGAACTCACATTACCTGCAAAAGCCCACCACGCAAATTGCAGAAGTCCTTTACGAGCAAAAGGAAAGAAAGAAAGCAATAATAACCCAACTCTGCCAACCACTAATAAAACCTACAATCCTCCCAAAAGAAAAACTTAACCCACCCAATCTTACTCACAATCCCTCCTAAAAAAAAGAAAAAAGAAAAAAAAAACTCAACTTATCCAATCACTAATCATCACCTACAATCCTCCCAAAAGAAAAACTTGTTTTAACCTCTAATAAACCCCATCTGCCTCTCAAAAAAAAAAATACACATGACTCAATACAACTATTCATTAGCCACACAAATCATATCACCCCTAAGAAATCCTACCATACTATAAATTAACCCAACAACCTCCAAAGCCCCCCTCTCCTCTCCTCTCCTCCCAACAACTGAACCATACCTGACCTTACTAACAATTATCCTAACCCTCCCCCTCTCCCCTTACTATATTTCCACACAAACACATACACACTCACACAACAACCCCCCTTAAGCAATTCTAATTCAGCTCAAATCAACATACAACCGCCACCCCAATCCTCAAACACTAATCCCTCCCACAACTAATCTCAAACACATACCCCCTGCCAGATAAAGCTCACACATTTCCAACTTCCAGAACCAACATACCCAACATCTATACCAGCCACTGTCAACATTATCGACCTAACTCAAGACTGAAACCAAACAACCTATATCTCACTCTCATCTCCGTTCACAATTTGACAAAGCTCAAATCTGTCCCCTGCTATTACTAAATAACTCTCCTACGATACACTCATCCTTCCTTACTACGAATACTTTGACATTTCAAGCTCAAAGATTCAAAACTCTTCCTCCAACTCTCTCCATTTCTCTCTGACATAGCTCAAAGACCCACAACTCTCAGAACCAAATCAAACATACCCAACGTCTGTGACATCCAATTCTCAATAAAATCGACCTAACTCAAGACTGAAATCATTCAACCTATATCTCATTCTCGTCTCCGTTCATAATTTGACAAAAAAGCTCAAATCTGTCTGCTGCTATTACTAAAAACTCTCCTACGATACGCTCATCCTTCCTTACTATGAATACTTTGACATTTCAAGCTCAAAGATTCAAAACCCTTCCTCCAACTCGCTCCGTTCCTCTTTGACATAGCTCAAAGACTTTACCTTCATCTTTCTCCAAACAACCCTACAACTAGCTAAATTTCCATGTTTTCACCTTCTCTGTTACTTTGATCGTGTGTTGCCTGTGCGTCCGTCCACCTGCGCTTCTCGGCTTGCGCCGCCGCCGTGGCGGGGCGGTTCTTCCTCCGCTTTGCCAACACTGCCTAAGCTAAGACGACAACCAGAGCACCCGCGTTGGCCCTTTGCTTGCCCGGACCTGCTCCCGCCCTCCCTCTGCCTCGTCCTGATTATGATTGTTGCACCTACCGGGCACATTGCCTACCCCCTCACGCAAGCGGTGTTTAGCCACTGCACCTGTTCTCTCCTCCTAAAATTCACTTCTATCCTCCCTTTATCCTTCCCCTGAACCTCCTTCCCCACTATCACTAGCATTTTTCGATTCGATTCGCTGTACGCTGATTGGCTGGTCGGCGCGCGGCCGGAGCTCAGTTGGAAGTTGTAGGGGAGAGGAGCCACTACAAGTGTCTCAAGTGGTTCACCTCTGAGGTTGTTAAGTGGTTCACCTATGGAATACCATAGGACTTTCGGTCTCCAGTTGATGTGAGTTATAATTTTTGGTGCCATTTTAAGAGGTTGCATAGTGTTGTATTATACCATTGATCAATTCAGGTTGTAGTAGTACAGGAGAGTAGTTGTGTTAAGCGGTTCGTATTTTTCCTTGGTCGAGGGGTAACATTTTTAGGTCAAAATGGCTGAGTCAGTAGAACAGGAGAGTACCATGGTAGGGGACACATTAGAAGAGAGATTGGAACGGACTTTGCAGATCGTCGAGAGACAATACTCAGAGCTAGAAGAATTACAGAGACAGGTTAAGGAACTAAAACGAGAACTCCAGCATGCAAAGAACCAGGACACTGATCTAGAGTATGGTGTAGGTAAGGACACAACCCCAACTGCCCCACCGGCAGAAAGTGCCCACTCTGTACCACAATCAGGGAACGATACCACACACCCAGGTAGCCTTAGAGTTTATCCAGGGGTTCTTTCCAAACTAACGGACAGTGCCAAGAGGGATGATAGGGAAGCAGCCGTGTTCAACCTCAGTTATGTTAGAACGTTATCATTGGAAACACTAACAGGGTCGGATTCTGAGAGCCATATTAGAACTTTTTGTAGACAGGTAGAGTGGTTACTGAAGCAGGATGACCATAGGGTAGAAGCGGCTCTAAGCAAAATGGAGAGTCCCGTAGAGCAGAGGGTTCTACAGGAATTGGATAGCAGGGACAGCAACATGTTAGACAGACCCGCCAGGAACCAGTACCAGAGGATTATAGAGTCCAGGGAGACTATCATAGGAACGAGACTGACGGAAGACCGGATCAGAACACGAGGTGGAAGGAAACTAACACTCAAGGTTGGACAGGAAATGAATGGTGCGGATATTGTAAGAAGGATAACCATAGTGCGCATAATTGTCCCTCCAGACCCAGACCAGGTTCATGCTACGCGTGCCTGAGGATGAACTGTAGGAGTTATTTTACCACTTGTCCAGGACGCCAAGCTAGGAATCCCCCTTCGGGCCAATGACCACAACATCCGTTCCCACGCAGTTCTCCATGTATTAAGTTACCTATATGTGGACATACTTGTATAGCGTTGGTTGATACGGGTAGTGAAGCTACTATCATTAAAGATAGCTTGGTTAGTGCCTTGAAGGTAGGGCCCATTAGGCCTTGTACCCAGAGATATGTAGCTATTAACGGGGAAGAGTTTAAGACCCAAGGCACTGTTGTCATCAGTGTACAGTTGTCCCGTAGGAAAAGAATCCGTCACCAAGCCGTAATAGTGGAAGATAACATGTTGGATACTGATGTATTATTGGGAGCAGACATTTTAGGCAGATTTGGAGTTTGGTGGCATCACGAAAAAAATCAGTTCAGTTGGGGGGGTCATAAACAAGTTTATTGGAAACCAAGCCATGGAGGAAAGTTGCGAACGGTTGTCAAAGTCAAACAGCTCACGAATGCTTCGATCTTATCTTCTCCCAAGGAGATAACTAACTTGCACGTTGATAGGAAGACTATAATAAGCGGGCACAGTTCTCAAATTAGACCAGTTAAAGTGAAGGAAGGGTTAGGTCAGACATTATGAATCAGATTTACGCATAGGGGGTTGAAGCAACAACCAGATATGTGTGTGGTAGTCCAAGATGATTCCTGTGTTTATGTTCCTATGAGTAACGTTTCAGAGCAACCAGTTTGTTTGAGTCCTGGTGCTGTTTTAGGTGAATATGAAGTAGTTCATGATGATGAATTCTGTTACTTTGATGATGAAGGGAATATTCTCGGAACTATCTCACACATTTACGAAGAGTTAGGTAAGGTAGACCGGTCTGTAGAAATACCACTGTGCTCACCACATCACCTGGCCATACAGAGAGAAAATGATAAGAGGTCAAACAAAATCCCCTTAAGACTGACTCATGATGTGAAATTCCCAACTCAATGCATACTTTGTAGTGGTATGGAAAATTCCCCAGTCCAGAGAATTAGACGAGCTCAAGAAGTATTAAATTCTATGGTACCAGACTGTGATGAAGTGAAGCGTGGAGAAACTAGACAGGACAAATTGAAGGAGTTAATTAGGACCCAGCAATGGCCACACTTAGCTAGGGACATGCGGACACAGTTGCAACAGGTGGTAATGAATCATGATGCGTTGTTTGTATTAGGTCCAAATGAAATAGGAACAATTAAGGGTTTGCCAGCTAACATCCCATTGGTCAATGAACAACCCGTAAGAGGACCTCAATATAGGTATCCCGAGAAAGCCAAGGGTACTATTAAAGAAATGATGAGAGACATGAGAGATAGGGACATCATTGAACCATCAACCGCTGTCTGGCTATCACCTATCGTGTTAGTAACTAAACCTAATGGATCGAAACGTATGTGCCTTGATTTCCGAGCAGTCAACAGACACTTGAAAGTAGATATACAACCTTTGCCAAGATTGGATGAATTAGTTGAGAAGGCTGCCGGAAATAAATATTATGCCACCTTGGATTTGAAAGATGCTTACTATCAGGTAATTCTTGACCCTCAAAGTAGAGATATAACCACCTTCAGTGATGGATATAATTTATGGCGGTTCAAACGCCTCCCTTTTGGTTTGTCAGCCAGCCCAGCCGTTTTTACTAGGGAAGTAAACAGGCTCTTAGCTCCTTTAGCCGAAGAAGATTGAGTCAGGAACTACCTAGATGATGTCATAGTGTGGGCTAATGATTTCAATACCCTCATGGGCAGATTGGCTAAAGTATTTGACAGGTTTGTAAATATGGGAATCAAATTAAACCTATCTAAATGTCAGTTTGGTCAAAGACAAGTAAAATTCTTGGGACTTATTGTTTCAGAGAAAGGCATTGAGCCGGACCCAGAGACTGTAAAAGCAGTAACCGACTGTAAACCACCCACTAATGTCAAACAAGTCCGACAATTTTTAGGGATGTGGGGGTTTTATCGTAAGCATGTTTCAAATTTTGCTAAGATTGCATAGCCTATCACCGAACTCACTAAGAAACAAGCTGCCTTTGCCTGGACAGATGAATGCCAGACAGCTTTTGAAACGTTAAAGCGGACATTAGCTTCCTTTCCAGTACTAGTAAAAGTGGACATGGATAAACCATTTGAGCTACACAGTGATGCTAGTAATTTTTGTGTAGGAGCATCACTGAATCAATTACAGGATGACGGTTCTTTGCGTCCTGTTGGGTATTTCTCTCGGAAGCTAAAGCCCGCGGAAACACGGTATTCCATCACCGACCAAGAAGCATTAGGGATAGTGTTAGCCTGTAGATTTTTCCATCAATTTCTGTGGGGTTCCCAATTCACCATCAAGACTGATCACCAGCCGTTAACGTCTGTTTTTAACAAGAAAACTAAAAGTCAAAGAATGAATAGATGGATGTTGGAAATGAGGGATTACATATATAAGATAGAGTACAAACCTGGAAAGGCAAATCTAGTCGCGGACGCATTGAGTAGGCCGGTAGGAGCCCTAAGGAAAGTAGCCAGGAGTAGGACGGCAGGTCAGTTCCCTCAGCTAGATGGGTTAACGCATCGGCAGTTAGGACCAGAACAAAGAAAAGAAGAGAGGTGGGAAGCATTGGCTAGTTATTTAGAAAGAGGATAGGTACCCAAACATAAATATCCAAAGACGACTATTGACAAATTTGAAGTAGCGGAGGGGGTATAGTATTTAGTAAAGGAGCAAATTGACAAAGCATTGCTGTACTGCCTTGTAATACCTGATCATTTGCGTAGAGCAGCATTAGAGTGGGCACATAACAGAGAGACATCAGGTCACTTAGGACAGTGGAAGACTATAGCCAGAGTAGAAGGCCTTTTCTATTGGCCAAATTATCGCAGAGACTGTGTGAAATTTGTAGAATCATGTGAAGTGTGTCAAAGATTCAAAGGGACAAAAGGGTTAGAACAGCAATGGCAGGGGATGTCAGAAGTAACTAAACCTTTGGAGAGAGTATCTGTGGACTTAACAGACTTACATAATAGTGTGAATGGATATCGCTATGTGTTGACCGTCATAGATCACTATTCTAGGTTTGTCAATTTCTATCCTTTGAGAACCAAATCCACTCAGGAAGTGACCAGAGAATTTAGTAAATTCAATAATGTTTTTGGTAGCCCTGGAGTAGTCATCGCAGATAATGGAGGTGAATTTACAGCAACACAATTTAGAGAATTATGTAAAGAAACTGGCATTAAGAACTATTTTACATTGCCTTACCACCCTAGAGGCAATAGTGTCACAGAGAGAATGCACAGGACCTTTAAAACAACACTTGCAATCATGTGTGAAGATAATCCACTTCAGTGGCCAAAATTTCTCAGTCCCGTGCAGTCTGCTCTGAACACGTCTGTCCATGCCACAACTGGGGTACAGCCTCATTTTGCTTTTTTTTCAAGGCATGTACAAAGACAAGTAGGAATTGACTTACCTATAATAGAGAATGAGATCAGTCAAGAGTTGAAAGAAGCCCATAGGTTGATAAAAGAGATGTCTGCCAGAATGTCAAGAGAGACCAGAGAGAGAGCAAATAGATCAAGAACGAACCAAACTATGCAGTTAGGAGAAACAGTGTGGGTGAGGAATGAATGGCCCAACCCTGGGACCAGTAGGAAGTTGAATACCAAGTGGAGGGGTCCGTACACTATAACAGAAATTATACTAGATGGTGCCGCATATGAGTTGACTAACCCATTGGACAAAAGTGAGGTGATAAAGAGAGCGGCTGAGAAAGTATAGAGGTATGTAAGTAGAGACATGTTTGTTCAGCTGAATGAGCCCCTTCTTCCACCCTATGATTCTTCCTCGGACTCGGGGTCAGACGAAACAGATGAGGAACGTGATGACGGAAATGTGGAAGGTCAACCTGCAAGTAGATTCCCTGTGAGGCAGAGGAGACCAGTAGTTAGAATGGATTTGTAGGAAATATAGTTCCAGAATGTTGCTTCAATTGAATATTATTGGCTTTCCAGTTTGTTAGGTTGATTTGTTTAATTATAAAGTTTTTGGTGGGGGAGACAGTTGCTCAGATGGTTTGTCGGGATGCTTTTTGAAGATCAGCTGTTAGTAGTGGTCTCTATATTGTCTGAAAATGTTTTTTTGGGGGGTTGTTGACTTCGTCAGTCGTACTGAAGTCACCCCAACATTTGAAATCCCAGTTCTTACGAACTGAAGTCCGGAAATCCAGTTGCTGCCTATGTTGTCGAAAGGAAAAATCTCAGTTATGTGTGTCAGAATTTTTTTGGGGTTGTTGACTCACTCCAGGTGAGGGAGTCACCCCGACTTTGAAATCCCAGTTCTTATGAACTGAAGTCCGGAAATCCAGTTGCTGCCTATGTTGTCGAAGGGAGAAATCTCAGTTTATGTGTGTCGAAAGTTTTTTGGGTTGTTGACTCGCTCCGGGTGAGGGAGTCACCCCGACCTTGAAATACCAGTTCTTCTGAACTGTGAGATAGGAAATACGTGTCTTGTGTTATGAGCCCCAATATGTACGTCTAGAACCACGGTTTTGTGTTGAAAAGGTGAATTATTATTGAAACGAAGTAGTAATCTGAGGAAGTGTCTGATGTAACTGATTCCCCATTCATAGACAAGAATTTAAATTCCTTAGGATATGTAATTTCATGCAGAGAACTTTTGTTGTAGATGTAATGTCAAAGAGTCACTGTTTATGTGCTGGTGCCAAAAGTATGTTGAGGTATTACGCTGATGAACTGTTAGGGGAATGTTCCTTATACTATATTGTACTGAAATAAGAGTTGATAAGTTGTTGCATGTATAGGTAACGGAGACTCGAGTATGAAAAGTTTGTCTCCTTATAATTTTCTTTTTAATGATATATTGTGATACCGAAGTAGCAGGATTGTAAAGGGTTGTCCGATGTATCTGATAGCGGAGACGCTCGTGGGAAACGTTTAAGTCTCCTTATGTTTTGCTTGATGTATTAACGTACTCTAATCCCGAACTGTTAGGATGTTGTAACATGTATGTACACTACAGCGTTAGTGCTTTGGCATCTTATTTCGCATAATATGAATCTTTGGGAGGGGAATGCTATGTACTGCGCACATCATTGGCATTCCTAAAAACCCCATTTAATTCATATTACGCTATATAACATTCAAATGCACCGCGCTTGTAGAACCTCAGAAAACGGGAAACATTGATAAAGGATAACTCACCTACTCAATGTTCATAGACCATGTGTTGTATTGTACCCAGGTACAGTTATATCATATTAATTGTATTTATTCATAGCATTAAGGAGAACTCAGGGTATCCATAAGATGAATGTTAAAGTCCAGTTGAGCCGGACTAGTGTACTGTAGGACTAAGTGTGGATCAGGGTTTGAAGGTCATACTATTTACGTCTGTGAGCGTGTAGCGAACATAACTTCCACAGATATCATATGAAAGTACATGAGAACAATGATCTGGAAAAAGGATAAATGTATCAGAACTATGTGAGGTGTTGGAAGTGACCCAGAAACTATACTTGAAAGGAAATATCTTGTATGCATTGGTATGGACTTAATACACCTCGTATCCTCACGTGACATATGCCACGACAGGTACAGTGATCAGAGAATCTTATGTCTGTATTCAAATAGTGCAATGTGTGAGAGGAGGATCCCTCATTACACTTTTAAGTGAAGTTGATACACCTGGCGCCATGAACATTCAGCCTTTGTTTCAAGGCGCGTCATGTACCCGCCTTGGGTGCCACGTTGATATTATAACCCCATGAATTTACCCAAGAACTAGCAAACCAAGACCTTACCTTAGTGTGTAATTTAGGATTACAATATGTGTTTATAAGGCATGAGTGACAATATACCGAAAAGTGTTCAGGTGAGAACCATAAGAAACAAAAGTGTAAATTGAGGATTGGAAACTGTAGGCCTACGTGATGAGGAGCAGTGGGGCACTGCCCTCAGTCTTCCTCGTTCTACCGTCACCTCAGGTCAGTGTCCTAGTGGGCTATATCCCGCCCTATAATTAAGGTTGATAAATAGAAGTTACTACAGTTTAAAGCTTTGCCCGATATATAAGTGTGATAGGAATGTGTTAAGGGGTGGGATAACCGCCCGTCAGGCATTATTTCTGAGTCTTCCTCGTTCTACCGTCACCTCAGGTTCCATGCGGTCGGAGTACCTTGCCGCCCGCCCGCCATTGTCCCTTTGAGCGTCACAATAGGTGGGGACTACACCCCGCTATGCCAGTCCACTGTGAACCTGTGGATTTCCAGCGCACCACCCCAAATGAATAGTCAGAAATAAGGAGACCGTGAGAAACTCTGCGGTCGTCACTTGGAGCGACCTATGATACCAGGCGTAGAAATAGTGCTGGTATGTCTCTAGGCGAAGCCCTCGTCTTTATCCACCGAGGGCGGTGTGCGAACGAGGTGCCTGTTGCTTATACCTAAAAGTCACAAGGAGTCCCACACTTGCAGGTATGGAGTGTAACAGGTGTGTTGAGATGGTGCTACTATGTATGTTAACCGACGGTGCTAGATTCCACACAGGTGGAGCAGTCTGATGTGTTACGGGATATTGTAAGAAGGGACGACCGAGGTAAGGTGGTCACAAATTGTTATGCAATAAGTAGGTGGGTAACACGCCATCAATGTAAGAGTCTGGGGCCCATCTGGGTAACCACATTTCCGTTGTTCTTCTGAGGAAGGCCAATTCATGTATATGTCTTTTACCAGTATGTTTTATAAGGAATAAATCAATTAAGACATGTTATGGTTTCAGCCTTCTTTCCCCTTATCGATCTGGTTAATGGAAAACCTAACCCAATGCCTAGTCCACTCTGCCCGCTACCTAACGAGCTACATGCTGTCCAGAGGGGGTCTGGTGGCAGCGACCCTTAGAAATTAAGATTAGAGTTAAGTTATCCCCTTAAACTTAGTGACCCCAGAATCTGGCAGTATAGTGGTCGGACTAATCGTTGGATGGTGGGCATTG